CTTTCTCTTCTCTTCCCATCTTCTCTTCCTTCTCTTCCTCTTCCATCTTCTTCTCTCTTCCCTTCTCTTTCTCTCTTCTCCTCCTCCTCCTCTTTCTTCCCTTCCATTCTCCTTCCCTCTTCTCTTCTCTTCTCTTCTCTTCCCTTCCCTTCTCTTCCCTCTCTCTCTCTCTCTCTCTTTAAAATCAGGCTGAAGGAAGATCTGGGCCCTTGGGAGTGGTCCCATTCCGGTAGATTGCAGGCCTTCGAAGAGCCACTGAGAGGCAAACGTTAAAGCAGCCGGGGAAATCGGAAGAAGGCGCATGGAGAGAGCGATGCCGGGGAGGGAGTCCCAGTGGCCAAGCCAGTCCGTGTGTGTGTGTGAGTGAACACGCTTTTGTACAGAAGACGACGGAGAGGGAGAAGACGGAGAAGGCAACCGAAGCAGAAGGCCACTCCACGCACCGCCATTAAGCGCGCTCGCGGGGGTGTGGGGGTGTGTATCTTGTGTACAGCGGAGGCCCAAGTGGCACGGGAGTAGCTGGGTTGGGGGTTGGGGTTGGGGGGGAGAGCCATTCCTTGCAGTAGCTTCAGCTGCAGGGCGGGGTTTGCTCCCCTCGGTCATCATCGAGCGGGCTCCCCCTTGGATTGGTCCCCACGGGAGCCACTCAACCCTTCCTAACCTGCCCTCCGTGGGGTCAGGATTTTCGCAGCCTTGCAGAGAGGCAGCCTGGGGGTTTGTGTGTATTATATCTCTCTCTACATAGGGGTGGGATGGGGGTGTGTGTGTGTATATATCTATATATCTAGGGCTCTCTCTTGTCTGGAGGTCCCGGAAGGACCTTACGCTATCATTCACTGCATTGATTCGGAGAGCCTCGGTGGTGCTATTTCTCACTCTTCGAAACCAAACCAAACCAGGGTGTTTTTTTGTTTTTGTTTTTGGCTATTGTCCTAACACCTTCTTAGCATCTTAGCTACTGAAAGTGGGGGGGGGGCTTCTGGGGGCTCGCTGGTCAGTTCAGTCCTGCAGCCTTTGCACAAACGCAAGCATTGGACGAGGTCGTGAAGGCCTTCCGATATGGGTCGTGCTCGACTTACAACCATCGGCTTCGTGACAACGGCCCTGAAAAACAGTGGCTTGTGACTGGTTTTTTTCCCCCCCACACACACACTTAACGACTGTTCCGGCATCCCCGCAGCCATGGAGGTCAAAATCAGGGCACTTGGCAACTGGCATGTACTTATAACGGTTGCACCTGTTGTGGGATCACCCCTTGTAAACCTTCCCAGCCGGCTTCCGCCAAGCAAAGTGAATTCATTTAACGACGGCATGATTCACTGAACAACTGCAGTGATTTTGCTTCATAATTGAGGCAAGAAGAAGGCCAGCAAAGCTCCCGTAACAACCATCTTGCTCAGCGGCGGAAAAGTTGTGGTCATACGTCGAGGCCCTACATGTACAGGTAGTTCTTGACTTACAACGGTTCATTTAGTGACCGTTTGAAGTTACAGCGGCACTGAAAAAAGTGGCTTAGGACCGTTTTTTTTTTCACACTTAATGACCATTGCGGCATTCCCCACGGTCACATGATCTACTTTCGGAGGCTTGGCAACTGCTTCCTATTTACGACGGTGTCTGCTGGGACCACGTGATTCCCCTTCTTTGCAACCTCCTGACGGGGGGAAGCCCGATTCGCTCCCCAACTGTGTGAGCAATTTAACAACCGCAGGGATTCGCTTAAACAAAAGTGGCAAGGGAAGTCATTAAAAGGGAAAGCAAAACTCACACACATTTCTACGACATAAATTCTGGGCTCCAAGCGTGGTTGTAAGTCGAGGCCTACCTGTATTCAAAATCAAGACCAAGAATAGGTTTTAGCACTAGGTGATTTTTTAAAAATATAATAATAATAATAGTGCTCTAAAGGGCTTCCTATTCAAACTTGACTGTAGATGAACAGACAGACCTAGCCAATAATATTGATTTCTAGAAAACCTTGAGTATCCAGATAGAAAATTGGCTACCAAGAATAATATAACACACCGGTCTTCAAATGTGCCTCGCTTTCCCTTCTGTGAAAAGTCTCTCTTGCTCGGATTTTGCAACGCCAGAGGAACAAATATTTGCTGATAATTGCAAACCATCCTTTTCAGCTTCCAATCTGTAGATAGTCGAGGGGAGGGGTGGGGGGGAAGAGCATTTTAAGCTGTCCTCCATTCGGTGCATGGGGTCCTGGGGAAGATTACGCTGGAATTTGTAACTGTAGACATAAACGGTGTCGATCCTTTCACGTTCATTAACGCAAAGCTAAAAGGGAGAACCCCTTACGGGTTGAATGTACCTCTGCCTCGACTCCATTGCTGTGTGAAGTGAACCCTCATTCGTGATTAACGGAACTTTCTTTAAGCATGCAAAGAACACCTAGAGGTCATGTAGTCCAACCCCCCCCCCCTTCTTAAAATGAAGACCTACAGTGCAAAACGCAACTCCAGTAGTGCCACCAATACATTTCGGCCGGCCTCAGCTGAAAGGCCCCCTCCCACGATGAGAAAATGACTTCCTTCTATTTTAATTTTCTCCCTCGTGCGGAGTCAAAATCCACTTCCTTGCACGCTTCCACCCTGCAACCCAAACTTACGTTACGGATTCATTTGTCTCAAGGCCTCTGCAATCACTTGAGAGGGCTGGCGACACTTAAAATCCGAACTGTTGTTTTTTTTTTTTTTTAGTTTTAACAAAAGAGAAAAGAAGGGAGAAAAGAAATCTATTATTGCACTGAATGTATTTTGAAAAAAAAAAACCTTCTGCAGCAGATGGAACTCCTAAGATATAAGCTTCTAAAATCCACCTTTAGCTCTGAAGATCATTTCTCCAAGGTACAACAGCCCTACATTTTAAAGATCTGTTTTCTGAAAAGAAAATCAGGATGTGTTCCTTTTGTCCATGAAGGCTGCAGGGTATGACATAAATATTTTTTTTTTATAAAAATCATAAATTTTGCCAGTCTTGGAGAAAGAGGCCTTTGACACGCAACATCAAAAAAAACCGAGGGCCAAGATCCCTGTTTCTTTCTTCCTTACCCAGTAAAAAAATCACTTCAGTGATTCCAAAGAGTACAGAATTGCAAAACTCTGAAATACAAAAATCAAATACATGGAAACACCCCACCCTAAAATTAATTTATCAGGAAACATCCTCCATACCTTTCAATATACAGGTACAGTCCTTCCCATCCCCTAATGAAGAGCCAGTTCACCGGCTTAGAGATGCTGACAATTGTCTGGCAGTTCGAACTTGGCCCTTCCCTGTTCATTCATTCGATTTGTTTAACTTCATCAAGCTAATTTGACAACACCCTCACCTGTTTGACTCTCTGCCCCGCCCTCCTTGGGCTCCCTTCAATAGGCCAAATCCTCTCTTCCCTTCTGGGATTTCTGATTAAAATCCCCCAACCGGTCTCTGGCCAGTTTTATGGGACAGGCTTTGGTGGGTGGAGCAGAACACAACTTTAGAAGAAAGTTTCTTGAGTTTTCTAAATCTCATTCCCACCGTTGATAAATGGGCTTCACCAGGTAGTTGAGAGGCGTGTTTCACCAGGCTGTTTCATCAACAAGGGGGGGGGGTCCTTGGTGCTCCCTGAACTTGGGCAGACGTTTCATTACCCAACTAGGTAACATCACCAGTATAAGTAGGGAGTAGGGTTTGCTTTCATTTTTATCTACTGGTGGAGTAGATAAATCAATTTATCTCCTCACTAGTAGATAAAAACTGAAAGCAAACTCTCTCTATTTAATGATGTTGCTTAGTTTGGGTATTGAAACATCTGCAAAAAAACCACCAAGCTCAAGAGAGTATCAAAGACCCCACCGTCCTCCTCCTCTCCACAAACCCAACTCCCTTCTAGCACTGATGATGTTACTTAGTTGGGTAATGAAACATCTGCAAGGAAACCACCCAGATCAGAGAGCACCAAAGACCCCACATTTCAACCCTGAGGTACAAATGTTATATTTTATTGGCATTTCATTAATGTGAAATGAGACCATTTCACATTAATATTCATTCCATTCTATTTTTAATGCCATGACATGAGGATGGTTTTCTGTCTAAGTTAAAGGTTAGTTATTACAAATATTAGAGCTAAATATTTCAAATCAATATGCCGGGAATTGGGGATAAATGTTCAGCTACAAGAAGCTATGGATGAGTTTTTCCAAAATTCCTTAACCTAGAAATGGTTTCTACGCCAGAGATAAGAAACTGCAGAATTGTTAATGGCTGTCAGAAAAAAAAAAACCAACCCGTTTAAAAAGCAGCTGTAAGATCTTTCCAAGATGTGAAACGCTAAACCAAGTTTGAAATCCCCTTCAAATCTCATTGAGGTATATATTGCAGATGAGATTAATCTGTTTTTTAAATTTCATCTGCGTTTCGATAGGGCTCTTTTCTCAGCCTTTTGTAAAAGGAATTTCCTATGCTGGAGACTTTGTACATATTTATATTGACTTTATTAAAAAAAATTAATAAGAAGGAGAAGGATTCCAGTCGTCAATCTTTGATTCTGTGTCGTTCGTTCTTCAAAATATTTAGTTTCTAGCATGGCAGCACCTCTTGGAGAGAGAGCCGAAAGATCTTTTGGGTACAAAGATGGAATTTGTGCAAATGAAATATTGGTGGTAAAGAATTGGAAGCCCTGTGCCTGTATTTCTATGAAATTAAATGTCAGTCCATACTAAATTCATTCATTACACACACACTAAACCAGCTCTTGATATCAATCTTGCAAGCTAAACTAGAGTGAATTATAATACCTTTGGTGGTCGTTGTTATCATCATCATCATGGCAGCAGAAATAGAACTAGTCCTCAACTTACAACCATTCATTTAGTGACCGTCTGAAGGTGCAACAGCACTGAAAAAATGGACTTGTGACTAGTCCTCGAGCTTACAACCGTTTCATTGTCCCCGTAATCATGGGATGAACTAGGTGATATAATGATGTCATTGATGACTGGGTAAGTCTAGTTTAATGAAAGGACTAGGAGGTGACATGATAACACTGTTTCAATATCCAATACACATCACAATTAGATGTTTCCATAGCATGCCAAACTAAAACCAGACAATTAGAGCAAACCACGCTCCCTTCTAGCACTGATGATGTTATTTAGTTGGGTAATGCAACATCTGCAAGAAAAGCACCAAACTCAGAGAGCACCCAGGACATCACATAAAACCAGACAAATCTTGCCTATGAGTTTAAATGTTTCATATTTTAGGACATCGTAGGCCCATAGTATGCAGCAAAGACTAAAACTCTATATTTTGCAATTCTTTACATCAATCTTTTCCTGAGTTTTGGTTTTTTTCCCCCTCCCAAAGTGGCATTTGAGTTTAGCTTTCTTGACACCATCTCCAAAACATGCACAGGAAATTACAAATCCAGGAGACCACATCCAACCAAACCGTGCCAATTATTTCTTTGCTTTCTCCTAACTATGAATTGGGTGTGCACAGTTGACTTGTTTTCATTACATCTGGGCAAATGAAGTTTTATTAGTAGTTACATGTGGAAGACAATGAAATAAAGATTCCACCCAACCTTTGAAAATAAAATCTAGGGGAACCAGAGCGGACGCTGTATTCTCAGTCCGTCACGTATGAACAAAGGGATGATATCAATCACTTATGACCATCGTTTGAAAAGCATCTCGTCTGGACAAAAGGAAATCAAAATTTATCTCACAACACTCAAGGGATCCTGCTGGATTCTTTATTTCCAAAAGAGGCTGATCAGATGTGGACAACTCAGGTCCTCTCCTAATGCTGAACCCAATAACTGAATAAGTCAACATATAGATATTGTATTTAGCCATCACAATTAGTAGCCATTGGTTGAGGTATTGTTGAAACTGGTCCAATTCCTCATCTTGTCATTATGAGTTCCATAGGTTAATTACATACCTTGGTGATTCTCCCCACCCCCATCCCTGTATCTCTCAAAAGTATCTCTCAATAAGAGATAGCAACAGCAATAGCATTTAGACTTATATACCCCTCCCTAGTGCTTCCCAACACTCTCCGGGTGGTTTACGATGTCAACATATTGCCCCCAACAATCTGGGTCCTCAGTTTTACTGACCTCCGAAGGATGGAAGGCTGAGTGAACTTTGAGCCTGTCACGATCAAACTCCAGACTGTGGGCAGAGTTAGGTTGCAATACTGCCCTTTAACCACCGTGCCACCGGGGCTCCTGGTGATAGAACGGATGTAACTCAGGATCTCAATTAAGTACCCAATTGTTTAAGAGTAAAGCAGTTTGACAAGCAAGGAAGGAATGAAAGGAAGTCAACCTTCAAGTTTCCACCCATAACTGATGCTCCAGAGAAAAGATGAGGAATTTTTGCCACTTGCCTTATGCAAGAAAGGGGGAGTTACAGTGACTCCACAGAGATATTCTGAAGAATGCTCCCTCTTACCCTTCCTCACTAAGATAGCTTCTCGGCATTTTGGGACATCCTGCAAGTCAATACACCTGGAAATGAGCAGAGGTGGTACCGTCCTTCCAGCAGCGCACGGTTTCCACGGCTACGGAGCGGCAGAGTGGACATGTCTTCTCGCGGTCAAACCAGAGGCAGAGGCATTCTTCACAGAAAACATGCTGTCAAGATAAAAGGAAAGGAATAGAATAGAATAGAATAGAATAGAATAGAATAGAATAGAATAGAGAATGGAATGGAATGGAATGGAATGGAATAGACTAGACTAGACTAGACTAGACTAGAATAGAATAGAATAGAATAGGACTAGAATAGGACTAGAATAGACTAGAATAGAATGTAGAATGCAGAATGCGGGATGGGATGGGATACTTTATAGGCCAAGTGTGATTGGACACACAAAGAATTTGTCTCCAGTGCAGAAGCTCTTAGTGTAACTACAAGCAACAAAGTAATATAATTATAAGATATAAGAGAAGGTAGTAGGAAATATGAATAATAATAATTAATAATAATAATAATAATAATAATAATAATAATAATAATAATAATA